AGGTTTGTGCAGCAAGCTGCTATTGTCATTGTTTTCATCTACGTTTTATCTTGACTTTGGTTTTGTTTACGTCCTCATTTCTATTTTTCTTCCAGAATGTTCGAATCCAAAACCCATTCTCCTCCAATCAAAGTTGCTATTGAATGCCGGATCAGTATTTTGGTCTGGGCTCACCGTTGCTCGCCACCCGGCACACAAACCCAAATTTGGTTGTTGGGGTTGGGCCTCTTTTGGAGACATTCTGTGCCACGTCAGTGCTTGGGAGGTCCGAATGTTGGATTTTTGCTATCCTCCACCACTGTTGGGACAGTGCCTTAGGAGAGTGTCAGGGAGAGGATAAAGAAGCTGAGTTATCAATTCTGGGGATGTACATGAATGCATTTGGAATTTCCAAGAAGCCAATCATTTCTAAGGTGTGCCATGCATATTATCTACTTGGTACTTGGGGCTGTGGTTGATGGTACTCTACAGCACTCAGTGCGAGAACTCTCCGGCAGAGTGCATTGGCCATGTCCTTCCAAGAAGAGAAGGTACATGATATGTCTTCAAGTGGGTAATAAAAGCATGGGTGGCTCTCTACTTCGCCATGCAGTCAAGAGGCCAGGGTGTTGCAAAGAATGCTCTTGGCAGTATGGCAAGCCCCACATCCCAGCAATTCGTACTGTAGCTGGAAGCGCCATCCAACAATGGCGCTCCATGCAACACAATCATGGAGTACTTTCTGGGGCCTTTTTTGTGTAGCCAAGAATGATATCATTGTGCAGTTGTCAAACCTGACTTTGCTTGTGATTGAACTTCCTCTAGCTAGCTAGCTGCAGCAGCAGATGTGTTCGCATCGTCTTTTCAAGAATTCTTTTTCGTACAGTAGTTCGTTTTGTGGTGCTCTTCTGGCCCAGGATTCCACAACAACCAACGTGCAGTTGACTAGATATCAAGGAGTTGTTAAGCTCCTGGATTGGTACTGCCTCGTCGTTTGGTGAGTGAGAATCGTTTGGAGGTTCTGGCGACGACGGATCTCAATCTTCCATGCGGATGTTCCTGTTTGTCGTCTTCCTCCTTCAACATGGCGACTTTTGTGACTTGACATTGATATTTTTGAATGACTTGTTCAACGATTCTATTTTCGACCCATGCGAAATGAAGGGGTGTCATTTCATAGATGTGATCACAAAGGGGTATGTCCGGGTCGACAATGAGTTTGTGTAGCAGCAAGGAACAGTCTGGTTTTCCATGTCCATTGATGTGGAACCATTTGGCGGCAGGTACTTTGGCAATATCTACTTGATGAATTCGGTATATGCATTCATCGACAATAAAGTATGTGTCTCCCCCCGTAGCAGGTTGTTTTTGGCATAGTTTTTGATACTTGCAAAATGATATTTTGGGAAGCGTGGGAGCACTGGTTGTCGAGTGTCGGGCCATGATTTTTTTGGAAGGCGGCGCTAGCAGTTTGAAATCGAGAGGAACTTGCTGGTATTCCTCTGGCGGGCATTTTGGTACGAAGGGAGTCGCCATTATCTCGGCATCAATGTAATCCTCATCGACGCCATATTGATTCATTCCCTGAGCAATCAACTCGAGATAGCGACATTGGGGTAATGTCTCAATGGGAGAATCCAAGAATTCGTCTTCTACCTTGTCTGAGAACTCCACAAAACGGGCATTCACGGGGTCACTCTCGGTGCGAGGATCTCCTTCTCGTCGTTCCGTGTTGTCGTCGTAGCGATAAGGAATCACGCGATGGTAGGACGGGGTGCTTCCCGCGTCGAATTTGATCAGAGCTTCCCAATCTTCCTGAGATGTCAGCTTCATCAAGAGACCATGCACTTCGTACCCTCTTCTAGGAACAATGTTCGCCATGCCGCCTATGGCAAACGTTAACCGGTAGTCAACAAGGAACGCAGAGCGGATCTCGTCCACATGGATTCCTCGTCTCTTCCGCACCAAGTCGTTCACCACAGGACCATACGCAAAGTAATACAGCTCCTGCTGCGGCTGCTGGCTTTCAGTGTCGTTACTGGGCTGTCCCATACTATTAATAGATAGCTACTACCAGTAGTTGTTGTTGTTGTTCCTTATCTATCTTCTATTGTTACCCTTTAGCTTTTAGTAGATCCCCTCCAACAAGGCGACAAAGCAACTGCTGGCTAGTCGGCAAACAATTATTATGCGCATCAATTGCAAGCAAGTCGCAAAGCAGCTTTCGCTTTCCAAGGTGTCCAAGAAGCGTTCGACACCCAAAGTGGTTACCGGTACGGCTTTCTGTCTCTAGGATGTCCCATCGTGTTCAGAGCTTTAATCAATTATTCCCCTTTGATATGGGGTCTACGTATATGTAGTACCGGTACTCCGGTACAGGTACTCTCGGAGCTCACCATCGAAAAGTATTTAAACACTTCAAACCTGAAACCCTTGTAAAACAAATCGAGCCCTTTTAGCTTCAAGAGAAATTACAAAACCCGTATCCCTAGCTACGACTGCAAAACCAAGAAGCCACGGAGCAATGTCTATTACGTCTCCATGAGACACGCTCCTTTTGGTAACCCCCTCAGTTGCACTCAAAATCGATTTGCCGGCGTTTACTGTGGAAAAAGAGTACCCGCACTTCAGTTGCAGAATCAACGGTCATGTGATCGTTAAGTAACAAGTTCCCTTTCGAAAGATTTAGATTGATTCGATTCGATTATGATGAAAAGAACCAAGTTACTAGGTTAAGGATACTCGTACTGGTACCTCAATCTATCCTCGCACCTATGCTGCCGGTCTGTTCACTTGCTTCGTCGCAAGTCCATTTTGAAGGGAGCACTGACTTCTCTCCCTCATTGAATTCATATGGTAAACAGGAGGTAATCCAAGCTTGGCCGACAACAATGGTGAGTGCTTTCCAATCGGCCGATCGATCGAAATTACGAGTAAGCTTTATCAAGAGTGTTATTGAAGATCAGTTCGAGCCCCCTCATTAATCTATGTACGGAAGGATCAACTCGGCCTCAACAGGTGATTCTCTTTAATTATTCGAATCGATCGCACCTCTATTATCTCATTTCAAGCCTCACTCAAGCCGGTCGTCTCCGGTGCAAATTCGAAAGCCATCCCTCATTCATCCTATGGACCGCGGGAAAGCAGTAGTTCTCGGCCCATGACGGCCAGTTGGTGCAATTTGAAAAGCAAGGGTAAGTCGCTGGTTTTCTTCAGTTCAGCACAGAAAAAAAAACTCATATCTATTTGTTTGTTTCTCTGCTGCACTGCCGACGGCGGCGAACTACCATTGTCGAGTCGTTTTCGAACGACCGCTCCGGATAACAAGAAGATGAGAGGCTACCGCTACGGAGGAGGGGGCTCTGTTAACTCCAGCCCTACCAACAGCCTAAACAGAGGAGCCTATCGTCGTCGAGTCATTGACAGCAACAGCACCGGAAGAGGAACAACACACAAGAGAGTGGATCCTCCTACCGGATTCTATCCCTCTGTTATTTACTAGTTTTGGTGGTGATTCCTGTGTCGGTACCCATTTTCCTGTATGTGCAGGGGTGTAAAATACTCATTAGTTTACAAACTATGGCCACGGAGTGGCTTTTATGACGCGGGCAAGTGGTGGGAAGCCCCCACCTAGCTGAGTCGTCATCTACTTATTTGTCCCAATCAAATGACCTCATCCACTGGCCCAACGTGGAGCCAGCACCAAGTAGGACAGATGCCCTGGGTAGGGGGTGAGCACATTGATAGGGAACCTGCAGCGCAAAACCTGGGTTACAGGGGCTTACACAGGATTTGTCGGTATTGAAACCATTATCACCATAGGGACCGTGAGGACCAGTTAGATTGCCAGACCAAAGAGTGCTCGCCAGTAAGTGTGTCTGGGTGATCAGGTCCCAAGCTGTGGCAAGGGCCTTGGCATGCAAGGCAAGATGCCCAGAGCCCGTAGGAGGTGGTACTCCTAGGCTGGACCAGAGCAGGGTGAACCCATCCAATGCACAAAATTGTTAGATAGAGGCCAAAAAGCAGGCAGAAGATGGGGTCAAATGACACGCTGGCAGTGTGTGGTTCCCAGGAGGGAGGCACAGTGGCTGCGGAGTGTTGTGGGCTGTTCGAGGGTTGTTGAGTCAATAGAAGGAGATAAGGGGGCACTGGAAGTGGGCTGTGCCAGGGGCAGGAGGGAGATCCTGTTGGTGTTGGAGTGTTGTTGTAGGAGTTGGGATGTAGCATGGTTGATGGTGTGTTGTAGGATAGAGGCGTGCCTCTGTTCAAGGGTGAGAACAAAGGCATCCTCCCTGATAGGTAGGGTGTGATTCGGAAGGGTTTGATCCTCAAGATGGCTTCATCTCTAGGAGCTGTTGGTGATCATCTGGGGAGTGGTGTTGTGTAGTCTGCGAGGATGGTGGATGTGGTTGGTTGGGTGAAGTGTGGGAGTGGGGGAAGTCTGGGAGGACCTGGTGGTGGTAGTGACTGAGTGAGAGACATGGTGGGGAGTCATGGTGGGTGGTAGGTGGGGTTGGTGGGAGAGTTGTGTATCTGGAGTATTGACTGTAGTGTCGTTGCTTCAACGAAGAATGGAGGTGCTTGTGAGGTGGCGAGATGATTGATGTGGAAGGGTGTGTTCAAGGGGCAATGCATGAGGCACTGGTAATCAAAGTTTATATCAAGGTGTGGGTTGTTGTTGCCACTGGATCAAGGCTGTGGCCAAGTCTGGTGAGGTATACCACTACCTGCATGCAGAGAAGATGGTGTATCAAGAGGTTAGTTAGGGATTCTTTCAGGGAAACTGGAGAAGTCACGCTATAGCCAGTAGAGGCAGTGGTGGGGATCAAGGGGTGTTGTGGTTGATGGGGCTGTGTTACTGGATGACACTGTTGTTGTCTCATCCGTTGTTGTTCTGTTGTTGTCGTTGTTGTTGTTGTTGTTGTTGTTGTTGTTGTTGTTGTTGTTGTGTTGTTGTTGTTGTCGTTGTCGTTGTCGTTGTCGTTGTGGTTGTCGTTGTGGTTGTTGTTGTTGTTGTTGTTGTTGTTGTTGTTGTTGTTGTTGTTGTTGTTGTTGTTGTTGTTGTTGTTGTTGTTGTTGTTGTTGTTGTTGTTGTTGTTGTTGTTGTTGTTGTTGTTGTTGTTGTTGTTGTTGTTGTTGTTGTTGTTGTTGTTGTTGTTGTTGTTGTTGTGTTGTTGTTGTTGTTGTTGTTGACGTAGTGGCAAAGTGCCAATCCAAGTAGACAGCCATGCCAAGGACCAAGCAGAACCAGCATTGCTTTGGCATTAAACCTGTCCGGCTTGACTATCTGTTTTCGAAGTGCAAGAAACAGGAGACTCACAGTTTAGTAGATGATCCTCACAAAAAGAAGAAGTGCAAGAAACAGGAGACTTGCAGTTTAGTAGACGCTGAAGCAACCATGACTGTCATCACCACGCCCCCAAAGCCCATCCAATCCCCCGCTGACATCACGGAAGAGGATCTCGCCAATATCTTGCCCCCAAATCCCTCCGTTGGACTAGCTGAACGCTACTTCAATGTCAATGGGTGTCGTCTTCCTGAGTTAATGGCCATGGCAATGGGCCTCACTTCTGTTGATGGACGTGAACTGGGCAATACTGACATTGAACCTTTTGTTAGCATGAAGTTCCGCAAAAAGGTGGTGCCCACGGCAAAGGATTTGATGGAAGAAATCAAGCGCCGCTGCAAGCTTGACAGCAGCAAGAAGGCACCCTCGTGCAGGCACTGGAACAAGGACAAGCTCGTCAGTTGGTTGAAGGAGAACCCAATGTCTGACGTGATTGATCGCGTCTTTGTGCAACTTGAAGAAGAAAAGCTCTTCAACATGTTGACAAAGGCCGCAGAAGAGAAGACTGAAACAGCCAAAAAGAACCAGACTGGAGCTTGGGTGACCCTCGAGCCATACCTCAGGCTCATTGAGTGCTTCTTCCATGATGATAACCGCGAACTCCTGATGAGAACGAACAAGGCATTGACAAGGGATGAGTTGGACGCCAGAAACTCTGACCAAAGGCCTGTTGATTACTGGGAGGCAGTCGCTCGTATATTCAATGATGACAGCTATGTCTTTTTTTCTCGCATGTTACCTGAACTGCATCCCACTTTTGCGGATGTCATTGACCTTTCGTTCGACAAAGTGCCAGGTACCATCAGTGCCCAAGAAGCTAGACGCAGGTTCAGCGACTGTCGTGCCAAGCTGGTCAAAATTGTTTCCAAGTGGGAGCTCAGCGGTAATGGGTTCGGTCAGAGGACAACAGAAGAGCCCCAGTTCGGTCACATGGAAGAAGAACAGCTCGAGGAAGGGGACAATCGTTCGAGCTTCCTTGATTCTGGAACTCGCGAACACATCCTGTATCTCTGGCATGTGGCGGACACTGAGGAGGTCATGAAGACATCTTGAGTGTTATCTCGGTCAACTGTGCTGCTGATTCGGAGAGTTGCCAGTCTACTATGGGAGATGACAACGCTTCTGTCAACAGGAGGAAGAGAGAAGCCGAAGTTCGTGCCGTGGCTGAGTTTCGTTCTTCCATCAGCGATGCTCTGTCCAACATGTCCCACGCCGCTTTGTTGACCGAGCTACGTGAAGCTGAGAATCGCTGCGTCATGTACGAAGAACGGGCCCTCACTACCGAACTACCTCGTGTGAAGAAACTCTATGACGAAACTGTCAGGAAGCTTGAGAAGCGAATCACAAAGATCCAGGAAATGGTGGATGCCATCATGGAGCAGAATGCAAGCGCCAAAGGACCGAGGAAGTCCAAGATACCGAGGAGGAAGATAGCATTGCCCAGGAGAGTGGAAGCACTGGCTATTGAAAGTGGCCATGGTCGCATTGTTTGTGTTGTGTTGAAGTGAAAAGAAAAAAGAAAAAGGTGGCAAGTGTGCCTCTTCCATACCGATGCTGTAAAGCATGCACAACTCTCTCTTTATTGTTGACTTGCATGCGAGCATAGAGTTTGGTAGACATTAATCTCACTAGGAAGAAATGAAAGACTTAGCGAAATGGACTTGTAGACTTAGCAGTTTCTCGTTTTCTTCGCCCTCATGGCTCAATCGCCACCAATCGCTAGCAGATCTATCCATTTCGGCGAACGATCGCAGATCCGTTTGAGCGAGGACGACCGATTGTACTATACATTGCATTGATAGAAAACTGCGTGTGACTCGTAATGTTGGATCTATATGGATTAATAACTAGATAGAATTTGCAGGAGTGCGACCAACCCAGCTATTAGGCGTTGGTCGTGTGAGTTCCAAGCGTTCCACTCGCTCACACATAATGTCGCGAGGGAGTGGCGCATCCAATCTCACTCACTGATGCGCACACTCCTGCTAGCATCATCGAAATGTTCTCCACCATGAAGCAATCCCTCTGGTCTGAAGCCATCATTATTGTCAGCAGCGCGCCCACGCACCACCCAACACAATGTTCAACTCATCGGATGCTAGTAGATCAGCCATGTCTTTGTCTTGTTGCTCTGATGGGATTGTTGATTATTGAGTCTTTCGAGTCGCTCATTGATGCAGAAGTTGTGAAGTCGACACAAACAGCGAACCAAGGCTGTCACTTTGGAGATGGTCAACTTCGTGGATAATGGCCTCAACAGAATACCCCAACGTCGGACAAGCATCCCAAAGGCACATTCAATGGTAATCCGGACATTCGAGTGGTAGTAGTTGTATGCGTCCTTTGGACCACGCCGGACTGCCTTGTAAGGTGTCGCCATGTACGGAGTGTTGACATATGCATTGTCCCAAACAAACACAAGCCCGACTTCATAAATCCCTCTGTCTCCATCTTCACGTACAGGGGACATGTGGTGAATGCAAGATAGTCGGAGGTTGAAGCTGGGTGTTTGATGGAAATGTCCATGAAGCGCCGTTCATGATCACATGTTGCTTGCATGTTCAGGCCAAATTTCTTCTTTCTGCCACAGAAGAACTTCTTGGGCCCACACTCTGCAGTGTCACAGTTCTTCTGGCTGGGCCGCTCTATCCAAACAACAATCCCATCGATTGCTCCTGCACAACACTCAAACACTCCACGACTCTTGACCTTGAATCCATCAGCAATTTTCTGTTGGTCCTCCCACTTGGAAGGGTAAGTAAATGCCAAGGCATCACACTGGTTTACTGCGTCAACTACCTTCCAAACTGACCGATACACGTCTGTGTGACTTATTCCATGTACCAGGCAAATATCATAGAAAGCTCCACCTGCAAAGAACCTCAACGCAGAGCTCACTTTGGATGACAAAGGAATCAGGCCGTTCTTTGCTCCAATCCTCCCCTTCTTTTTCTTGGTTGATTGGTTTCAAGTGGGGATGGAGCAAGCGGCACAGCTTCCAGAATGATGCTGGTTCCATTCGATAGGCCCTTCTCACGTAGTAGGGACAAGCTCATTGAAGATATCTGCGACTCTCTTCCTGGTTCTTGGGCGATGGGGACTTGGATCTGGCCTACGGTTCTCTTGAATTCCGAAGACTTCAGGAGCGGCAGAGAGAAGAACAGCGCATGTAACAGCAAAGAAGTGTCCTGGTTTCATGGCTGGCGAAGCAGCAACCAAAGTTAAGAAGAGCAGCCCCAATAGTACCGATTGAAGTATCATTGTCAGTGGTCGGTGTTATGAGAATCTTCAACAATCAGCTTCTTATTTTATTGTTGTTCGTGCATCTTCTTTCTTGTTTCTTTCTATTACATGCCAATGCGCATCCAATGATGAATGAGATGGCTTTTGGAGCGTCCATGACTCCTAGTCACGTATTGGATTTTTGGTACTGGGCATTTACCTGTTGGGACACCCTCTGGGACTTCGAGTGACCAAGGGCCTTCATGGTCATAGTTGGATTCTCCGAATGTGCGATTCTTGATTACTGTTGGGACAGTGCCTAAGTAATTGTCTTCCATGCATTTTTGACCACTGTATCTGCGCGCCCCCCCTCCTCCTCCCCCGGACGATACTTCGCGCTTCGCGCGATACTACCGGTACCCTGTTTCTTACTACAGATCCCGATTGAACTGGCCAAAAACCCACGAAACACTTTTCACCCTCTGTTTCAGAAAAAAACTGTGAAACGAACTCAGTAGCCCTCAGTACACTTACTACGTGATTTTAGGGGTAAGAATAGAGTTCTCTTTGCATGACGTCATTCGTGGCTCTTTTTCTACCGTACTGTTACCGTTTTGTGGGCAATTCTTGATTTTTGTGTAATCTGACGAATGTTCTTGCTAGTAGGTTTTCTACTGAATTTCTACGCGAACAGGGGAAAAAACTGAAACAGAGGGTGAAAAAAGTGGTTCGTGGGTTTTTGGCCAGTTCAATCGCGATCTGTAGTACTATTCAAAAAGTATTTTCTCGACGATGTATGAGTAGGGTTCAGGTTCAAGCCTTTCTTCTTCAATCGTCTCGTTTGGTCCCCACTACAATAATAACAACGCAAGCACCACAACGAACAAACAGCAAGCTCACAAGCTCTGGCTCTCTTTGTGCTGTTGTTTCCCCCTTTACTCTTTATCCCTGTGCCCGTACGCACTGCAACCAGGCCTCTTTTTTGTATTTGTCGAACGAGAGAAGCCCCAAGGTGGTTCAATTTATCGGGCTGCATTTCGCCGATTACGGCACATCAGCGCACTTCGACCTCTTTCGTTATGGCCACCGCTTCGCGTCAGGTGCAGTTCCAGGGGATTGATTCGGTGTTTGAGAGTCAGAAAACAGAGAGGGGAAATCGAGAACGCAAGGCCCACCGTGAGCGGAAGAAAGTAAGTAAGGGCAGCGCAGCGCTGTGGTGGCGTGTACTCTGTGCATAAATCGACCAGATCGTCCCTTTCATTGACTCGTTTCGTTTCGGTTTGTGTTTTTGTACTTCAGGCGAAGAAAATGGCGGAAAGGGACGCGAAAGAGCATCTTCGGTATTTTGTTCTGTTCCTACAGACGTATCAGATCCAACGTCCTGGTCCACCACGTCCAACGTTGCGTGAGATGATTCAGTCAGTCAACGGCGCCATGGGTATTTTGGGACTTTTGTTTCCTGATGCTGCCGACGACACTGCGGCTTGGAAGCGTTCGATAATATCGTGCACTGTCCCAACAGTGGTGGAGGATAGCAAAAATCCAACATTCGGACCTCCCAAGCACTGACGTGGCACAGAATGTCTCCAAAAGAGGCCCAACCCCAACAACCAAATTTGGGTTTGCGTGTCGGGTGGCGAGCAACGGTGAGCCCAGACCAAAATACTGATCCGGCATTCAATAGCAACTTTGATTGGAGGAGAATGGGTTTTGGATTCGAACATTCTGGAAGAAAAATAGAAATGAGGACGTAAACAAAACCAAAGTCAAGATAAAACGTAGATGAAAATGACAATAGCAGCTTGCTGCACAAACCTTCCGTTGTTGTTCTGTTGTTGTCGTTGTTGTTGTTGTTGACGTAGTGGCAAAGTGCCAATCCAAGTAGACAGCCATGCCAAGGACCAAGCAGAACCAGCATTGCTTTGGCATTAAACCTGTCCGGCTTGACTATCTGTTTTCGAAGTGCAAGAAACAGGAGACTCGCAGTTTAGTAGATGATCCTCACAAAAAGAAGAAGTGCAAGAAACAGGAGACTTGCAGTTTAGTAGACGCTGAAGCAACCATGACTGTCATCACCACGCCCCCAAAGCCCATCCAATCCCCCGCTGACATCACGGAAGAGGATCTCGCCAATATCTTGCCCCCAAATCCCTCCGTTGGACTAGCTGAACGCTACTTCAATGTCAATGGGTGTCGTCTTCCTGAGTTAATGGCCATGGCAATGGGCCTCACTTCTGTTGATGGACGTGAACTGGGCAATACTGACATTGAACCTTTTGTTAGCATGAAGTTCCACAAAAAGGTGGTGCCCACGGCAAAGGATTTGATGGAAGAAATCAAGCGCCGCTGCAAGCTTGACAGCAGCAAGAAGGCACCCTCGTGCAGGCACTGGAACAAGGACAAGCTCGTCAGTTGGTTGAAGGAGAACCCAATGTCTGACGTGATTGATCGCGTCTTTGTGCAACTTGAAGAAGAAAAGCTCTTCAACATGTTGACAAAGGCCGCAGAAGAGAAGACTGAAACAGCCAAAAAGAACCAGACTGGAGCTTGGGTGACCCTCGAGCCATACCTCAGGCTCATTGAGTGCTTCTTCCATGATGATAACCGCGAACTCCTGATGAGAACGAACAAGGCATTGACAAGGGATGAGTTGGACGCCAGAAACTCTGACCAAAGGCCTGTTGATTACTGGGAGGCAGTCGCTCGTATATTCAATGATGACAGCTATGTCTTTTTTTCTCGCATGTTACCTGAACTGCATCCCACTTTTGCGGATGTCATTGACCTTTCGTTCGACAAAGTGCCAGGTACCATCAGTGCCCAAGAAGCTAGACGCAGGTTCAGCGACTGTCGTGCCAAGCTGGTCAAAATTGTTTCCAAGTGGGAGCTCAGCGGTAATGGGTTCGGTCAGAGGACAACAGAAGAGCCCCAGTTCGGTCACATGGAAGAAGAACAGCTCGAGGAAGGGGACAATCGTTCGAGCTTCCTTGATTCTGGAACTCGCGAACACATCCTGTATCTCTGGCATGTGGCGGACACTGAGGAGGTCATGAAGACAATCTTGAGTGTTATCTCGGTCAACTGTGCTGCTGATTCGGAGAGTTGCCAGTCTACTATGGGAGATGACAACGCTTCTGTCAACAGGAGGAAGAGAGAAGCCGAAGTTCGTGCCGTGGCTGAGTTTCGTTCTTCCATCAGCGATGCTCTGTCCAACATGTCCCACGCCGCTTTGTTGACCGAGCTACGTGAAGCTGAGAATCGCTGCGTCATGTACGAAGAACGGGCCCTCACTACCGAACTACCTCGTGTGAAGAAACTCTATGACGAAACTGTCAGGAAGCTTGAGAAGCGAATCACAAAGATCCAGGAAATGGTGGATGCCATCATGGAGCAGAATGCCAAGCGCCAAAGGACCGAGGAAGTCCAAGATACCGAGGAGGAAGATAGCATTGCCCAAGAGAGTGGAAGCACTGGCTATTGAAAGTGGCCATGGTCGCATTGTTTGTGTTGTGTTGAAGTGAAAAGAAAAAAGAAAAAAGGTGGCAAGTGTGCCTCTTCCATACCGATGCTGTAAAGCATGCACAACTCTCTCTTTATTGTTGACTTGCATGCGAGCATAGAGTTTGGTAGACATTAATCTCACTAGGAAGAAATGAAAGACTTAGCGAAATGGACTTGTAGACTTAGCAGTTTCTCGTTTTCTTCGCCCTCATGGCTCAATCGCCACCAATCGCTAGCAGATCTATCCATTTCGGCGAACGATCGCAGATCCGTTTGAGCGAGGACGACCGATTGTACTATACATTGCATTGATAGAAAACTGCGTGTGACTCGTAATGTTGGATCTATATGGATTAATAACTAGATAGAATTTGCAGGAGTGCGACCAACCCAGCTATTAGGCGTTGGTCGTGTGAGTTCCAAGCGTTCCACTCGCTCACACATAATGTCGCGAGGGAGTGGCGCATCCAATCTCACTCGACTGATGCGCACACTCCTGCTAGCATCATCGAAATGTTCTCCACCATGAAGCAATCCCTCTGGTCTGAAGCCATCATTATTGTCAGCAGCGCGCCCACGCACCACCCAACACAATGTTCAACTCATCGGATGCTAGTAGATCAGCCATGTCTTTGTCTTGTTGCTCTGATGGGGATTGTTGATTATTGAGTCTTTCGAGTCGCTCATTGATGCAGAAGTTGTGAAGTCGACACAAACAGCGAACCAAGGCTGTCACTTTGGAGATGGTCAACTTCGTGGATAATGGCCTCAACAGAATACCCCAACGTCGGACAAGCATCCCAAAGGCACATTCAATGGTAATCCGGACATTCGAGTGGTAGTAGTTGTATGCGTCCTTTGGACCACGCCGGACTGCCTTGTAAGGTGTCGCCATGTACGGAGTGTTGACATATGCATTGTCCCCAAACAAACACAAGCCCGACTTCATAAATCCCTCTGTCTCCATCTTCACGTACAGGGGACATGTGGTGAATGCAAGATAGTCGGAGGTTGAAGCTGGGTGTTTGATGGAAATGTCCATGAAGCGCCGTTCATGATCACATGTTGCTTGCATGTTCAGGCCAAATTTCTTCTTTCTGCCACAGAAGAACTTCTTGGGCCCACACTCTGCAGTGTCACAGTTCTTCTGGCTGGGCCGCTCTATCCAAACAACAATCCCATCGATTGCTCCTGCACAACACTCAAACACTCCACGACTCTTGACCTTGAATCCATCAGCAATTTTCTGTTGGTCCTCCCACTTGGAAGGGTAAGTAAATGCCAAGGCATCACACTGGTTTACTGCGTCAACTACCTTCCAAACTGACCGATACACGTCTGTGTGACTTATTCCATGTACCAGGCAAATATCATAGAAAGCTCCACCTGCAAAGAACCTCAACGCAGAGCTCACTTTGGATGACAAAGGAATCAGGCCGTTCTTTGCTCCAATCCTCCCCTTCTTTTTCTTGGTTGACTTTGGTTTCAAGTGGGGATGGAGCAAGCGGCACAGCTTCCAGAATGATGCTGGTTCCATTCGATAGGCCCTTCTCACGTAGTAGGGACAAGCTCATTGAAGATATCTGCGACTCTCTTCCTGGTTCTTGGGCGATGGGGACTTGGATCTGGCCTACGGTTCTCTTGAATTCCGAAGACTTCAGGAGCGGCAGAGAGAAGAACAGCGCATGTAACAGCAAAGAAGTGTCCTGGTTTCATGGCTGGCGAAGCAGCAACCAAAGTTAAGAAGAGCAGCCCCAATAGTACCGATTGAAGTATCATTGTCAGTGGTCGGTGTTATGAGAATCTTCAACAATCAGCTTCTTATTTTATTGTTGTTCGTGCATCTTCTTTCTTGTTTCTTTCTATTACATGCCAATGCGCATCCAATGATGAATGAGATGGCTTTTGGAGCGTCCATGACTCCTAGTCACGTATTGGATTTTTGGTACTGGGCATTTACCTGTTGGGACACCCTCTGGGACTTCGAGTGACCAAGGGCCTTCATGGTCATAGTTGGATTCTCCGAATGTGCGATTCTTGATTACTGTTGGGACAGTGCCTAAGTAATTGTCTTCCATGCATTTTTGACCACTGTATCTGCGCGGCCCCCTCCTCTCTCCCCCAGAACGATACTTCGCGCTTCGCGCGATACTACCGGTACCCTGTTTCTTACTACAGATCCCGATTGAACTGGCCAAAAACCCACGAAACACTTTTCACCCTCTGTTTCAGAAAAAAACTGTGAAACGAACTCAGTAGCCCTCAGTACACTTACTACGTGATTTTAGGGGTAAGAATAGAGTTCTCTTTGCATGACGTCATTCGTGGCTCTTTTTCTACCGTACTGTTACCGTTTTGTGGGCAATTCTTGATTTTTGTGTAATCTGACGAATGTTCTTGCTAGTAGGTTTTCTACTGAATTTCTACGCGAACAGGGGAAAAAACTGAAACAGAGGGTGAAAAAAGTGGTTCGTGGGTTTTTGGCCAGTTCAATCGCGATCTGTAGTACTATTCAAAAAGTATTTTCTCGACGATGTATGAGTAGGGTTCAGGTTCAAGCCTTTCTTCTTCAATCGTCTCGTTTGGTCCCCACTACAATAATAACAACGCAAGCACCACAACGAACAAACAGCAAGCTCACAAGCTCTGGCTCTCTTTGTGCTGTTGTTTCCCCCTTTACTCTTTATCCCTGTGCCCGTACGCACTGCAACCAGGCCTCTTTTTTGTATTTGTCGAACGAGAGAAGCCCCAAGGTGGTTCAATTTATCGGGCTGCATTTCGCCGATTACGGCACATCAGCGCACTTCGACCTCTTTCGTTATGGCCACCGCTTCGCGTCAGGTGCAGTTCCAGGGGATTGATTCGGTGTTTGAGAGTCAGAAAACAGAGAGGGGAAATCGAGAACGCAAGGCCCACCGTGAGCGGAAGAAAGTAAGTAAGGGCAGCGCAGCGCTGTGGTGGCGTGTACTCTGTGCATAAATCGACCAGATCGTCCCTTTCATTGACTCGTTTCGTTTCGGTTTGTGTTTTTGTACTTCAGGCGAAGAAAATGGCGGAAAGGGACGCGAAAGAGCATCTTCGGTATTTTGTTCTGTTCCTACAGACGTATCAGATCCAACGTCCTGGTCCACCACGTCCAACGTTGCGTGAGATGATTCAGTCAGTCAACGGCGCCATGGGTATTTTGGGACTTTTGTTTCCTGATGCTGCCGACGACACTGCGCGCTTGGAAGCGTTCGATAATATCGTTACAACCAGACAACTCCCCCTGGAGGACAAAAGTGGACTCAGAGCTCACATTGGAGAGCTGACTGTACTTATGCGACTTTGTCAAAATCAGGGTATCTACACGGACCTCGACCGTTTCTATCAGGAACTTCGTCATTCAGACCAGCTTGGAACTCTTGATGAATACTTTGCTGGTTTGGCTCCGAACAATGAAGAGCAATTTCGCCAAGTACTAGCGCAGCTTCGAAGACACGGTCTTGGCTTGACCCGTGCTAACGACATGCCCGAAGTGGACAGGAATGGACTCCGAGGTTTTATGGATGCTCATGCTGCGGCAACACGAGCTGACCAGAATGCTCTAGTCAGTTCTTCTGACGAATCATCCGCTGACGGCGATGAATTGAGACGGCTTGACTGAAGGCGATCCCACCTAGTGCTTCCTTTGACGAAGAAGACAACAGCAAGAAAAAAGAATCACGGCGGAAAGGAAAGGACAAGGAAAAACCAGAGAGCAGCACTAAAAGAATTCCAAGACGGGCCAAGTCGACGGAAGATGGCCAACCGCCTCTTTCCGGTCCAGGTGGGCGAGCTAGGGCCGCGGACAGCGATCGAAGGCGACGTGGTACCATGCTGGATAGAATTGGTGCGTAGAGCAGACAGACACGAGCCAGCGGCAACACAGAGAAGGAGCTACGATGCAACTTTTTGCGTGGATAAGCCGCGTGTACAGTCATAAATGGACACTGTTGTTTGGGCGATTGATGAAACGGGGGTACTACAAGTTCAGTATGCGGGGCGATGGACATACTAGTACAAGCTAGAAAAGACAATGACCTGATGTGATGAAAGAGAACCAAAAATAGAGAGGTTCCAATCACAAAAAAAGGAACATTCCCGTAGTGGTCGACAACTACCTGAAGAATGGATCCTCGGCTAACGGGGAGAACAAATCAACAAGATCTGCCATCGTTCTAAGCGCCTGCTGCACTTATGAAAAAGAGAAACGAGGAATCGCTAGCTTTACTGAGAATACTGCAGAGAACGTCGTCTGCGAAGGTCAGAGGAAAATGGTAATCCTCGACCAATTCCACCCAAATCAGGCTTTGAACAGATATGAGTGGGATGAAGGGAAAGAAAAGCTTGAATGGGTGTGCATAACCCCAGTGAAGAAAGCAAGAACTGACCCAGGTGCTCCCATTGAGGAACAGATAGATTTCGTTCGAAGACCAATGCATAACCCATACTTTGGAAAGCCTGTTAATGCCATCGTATATTCAGGACCCAGAGGGCAGGACATTTCCTTCTACAGCAAGGAGGCAAGACAAGATGAGTTCATTGATATAGGAGTTTGCACAGGCAAGACCAAAGAAAATGAACGGTACACCCACCTAACTATCCCCAGACACAGAGTTGATAAGTGGGGTGGAGACTTGATGAAAGAGATCAAACTTGACCAGCTATGCACGTGAAAACACCCACCAGGAAGTCATGGACCGACACAACAGCAACCCGAGACTCACAGAGCTGGTTAGGGAAGAAATGGTCTTGAGGAACGGTGGTCATCGCCAACCCGCTCTGGGCAAGCGGTCGAAAGGTAGCATTCGAAGCATTCGGAGGTCGGGGAGTAGCAACTGGCCCCAGCGGCCATATGCTCATGAACGTTTATGGTGGCCCCGAGGCTGCAATTGTTGGAGAACGCCTACCGGGAGTGGGCTTGCGTTTATGTCAATAGTTTAGATTCAGCCTGTGGCCCAGATAACCAAATTTACTAGCTACGTAGCTAGCTAGATTATCTACTAAAGTGGTCACATTATTTTTTAACCAACGTTGGATTGGAAAGTAAGTTGGACATTGGAACACCGTCGGCAATAGAATTATCGGCCATTGTCACCAAAGTAAATATCAATAATGTCTTTAACAGATATTGGTTTTTTAGGAATTGTGAGATTCAGTCCCCAATAAGGATAGGATTCAAGTTTATTCGAGTCAGCCATCCTGCTGATGTCACTCTTCGCGATCTTTGTTTGAAGTTAGTATCTTTGTTTGATTTATCTCGAGCAAGTGTTCGCCAGGATGACGACTCTGCATGATGTCTTCCCAAACGTATGAATGTGGGAGAAAAAATCTGAATTCCGAATTCCCTACCGGTAGACACTTGAACTTGAAGTCCTTACCGGTTAACACATTCGGAACTAATTTGGCAATCGTGATTGAAACAGTTAACGACAGTTATGAGAGCAAGCCGGGACTATGTGTTTCCATCATCACATTTCCCCTGCTAGTCTCTCAGAAGCCAACAAACAACAGGTTCGAATACTGTACATTACAGGTACCTGGTAGCTGCTGCACTACGCTAAAAGCTAGTGTAAAGATCTTTCGAGTGTTTTGAGTTTGAGAGAATGAAAGTTATGAGAGAGATTAGAAAGCTATGAAAACTAATCAACGAGAGAGATCATCATCAAGGGATCGTAGATCTGGCTTCCGCGGGAGACTATGAAGTGTGATAGAGTAGGTTGCGGTAGTAATCCTACGTCTCCACGATCCTAAAACGGAACACGTGGAAGGTTTGTCTAGCTGGATCTAGTAGGTGAAGTATCCACGCTGGCTAAATATCTAGAGCGATGTTTCATCATCAACCTAGTATGACTAGCGCGGTCATGAGAACCCTGTCTCAAATGACATTCACGAGAGACTCAGTATGAGTCGAACCAAACCCTATCTAGGATCGGTCGCGAAAAAGGCTAAGAGCCGTGTATTGCATTCGCCCCCTGACAAGGGTCACAGAAGGCGCGACAGCAGTCGGACAAGGAGAACATATGATTTATTGTGCGGGGCACTCTCATGAATTTGGATGTAGACATGTGCGTCGCACGATGGCAATCCTACAAGGGGATAGGCCTTGTATGGTGTATATACTTATGTTCCAAGTCTGGTAGACTGTGCCGCCGTTGGCGGTAGCATGTTGAGCCGTACAGTGCCATTGTCATTGACTCGGTCTATAGTGTAAGGACCTTTGTATTTGGCTGACCGTACTTGGGTGCTGATACTGTTGATCATCACGGTATCGTTACATTGTATTGATGAGGGTGTAAAATACTCGTTAGTTTAACAAACTATGGCCACGGAATGGCTTTTATGACGCGGGCAAGTGGTGGGGAAGCCCCCACCTAGCTGAGTCGTCATCTACTTATTTGCCCAATCAACATGACTCATCCACTGGCCCAACGTGGAGCCAGCACCAAGTAGACAGATGCCTGGGTAGGGGGGTGAGCACATTGATAGGGAACCTGCAGCGCAAAACCTGGGTTACAGGGGCTTACAACAGGATTTTGTCGGTATTGAAACCATTTCACCATAGGGACCGTGAGACCAGTTAGATTTCCAGACCAAAG